TTAAAATTAACCATGACGCAAAAATTAGGTGGCCGAACTATTTGAGTGGCCGAATTGATTGAGCTTTTACGGTAGTTGCTATTACACTAGTTAGATTCAAGGTCACATGTCAAAACAGTCCTTCTAGCTATGATATATACTGTAGAATACTTTATTTTCACTTGGAATTAATTTTCGCTGAAGGAATGTTTCAATGAAAATAAAATTCAGCGAATATACCTTTTTTCCTATAATTTACATTCAACTTGTCAAAAACCAGTGAAAATAAATTTCATACAAAACACCAAAAATGTCTTTTCAGCGAAAATTAATTCCAGCTGAAATAAAGTATTTTACAGTACTACTCTGCATCCAAATGAGCTGACCTACTACTGGTAAGTCCTCTAAGCAATCACAGCGGTATTTGCATATGACCTCCTGACTTGGTTTAAGCATGGTTCACAATTAGTTGTGACCTTGTGATATTTACGACTGATCATCACAGCATGCATAAAACTGTACCTTATCTGGCCACCACTCAACATCTTCCCCAAGCTGTAATGGATTTGGTGTTGGTTGATGAGGTTTCTTTGCATCTGAAGGTGGTAAATCAGATGTTGGTAATTTGCTTCCACCTGCTGCACTATCTCGCAATCCTGTATCCAACCACCGCCTGTCTCGAACACGAAATACTGGATCACGTTCCCGGTCACTGCCATCTCGATCTCTCTCTGTCGACAAAAGCAGAATTGGCACTGCTGAAGAGCAGTTCCATGATTTCATGAGAAGGAATTTGCAATAAAGCCCAACACATCAAAGGCTTTCTTTAAAGTGACCAACATTTCCATTTGTTTATTTGATATATTCATAAACAAACAAAAATGTTTTTTACATACTTACTCATATTAGAAGAAAGCCATGAGACATGGCAAATCCCTCGTCATCTTTTTTATGATTGATTCAAGCAGTTTGCGTCAATGGATGGGAGGAGCGTGCATGGTATTGAAAGTGGGTTATAGTAGTGAAATGCAGAATCAGGAATATAGTGACAACATTTTGGGGTTTTAAGTTTCTTTAGTTATGACTATGCACAATTGTATAAAATATATCATGGCAGAAATTACTAAATAAAGTTATGCACTAGCACTATATTCCATTAGTGTTCCAGATATGCTATTTATGCATTCTTAATGAGGTGACATGAATTGTTTTCAATAAAGCACTGAATGAATGTCTATCTGCAATAGTGCTCCAGATATGATAGTTCTGCATTTTTAATGAGGTCATATGACCATATACGGTCATTAAATATGTTGATTAGATCCTGTGCCAATGTCTTCAATAAAGCACTGGACAAATGTCTACCACACCTGATAGCCTTGATAGTGGCGGTGGAGATGAAAACCCTTGATGGAAGTCATAGAGGCAAATGCCTAGAATGCCTACCTGGATGCCTTAATACCTTTCAAAATAGTAAAATATTTCCTTCATAACATAAATAGGTCTAAACATTTTTATAAATTATGCTGTTGATATTTGATGCCTCTAAATGTTCAAGCAAATAATTACCTTCAAATATTTGGCTGTTCTGGGCAGTCTCGAAGAACAGTCAGGATGACTTTACCGAAACCATCGGCTTTCAAGACCTGTTTACTTGATGCTTTGAGCTTAGCAGACAGAAAACATGGCGAGAACTATAGTGATAATTATATTGACCGACAATTTGATGATAAAATCACTAATTTTTGCTGAGTTTTAATTTCATTGTTTTAAATTTCCCAATCTGCCAGTGAAACAATGAGATCTATCATAATTTTGCATGGTCAGATGCATGGTTAGAAGTGCACATAAAACAAGTCATTGAAAATGACACAGTCCCTGTTAAATTTTTGAAAGTTCTCGTTGTGCTCGTCATATTAAAGCGGAGGGGTTGTCGCGAGCGTGTCCTTGAAACTTGAGTTCCAAGTGGCGTATACAACAGATTGTTTATTTACATCAAAACACGTGTTCCATGTAGTAGTAATATGGCCAAAAATAAAAACAGCCGTTATTCGGCCATCTTTGATCTGATTATGAAACACACTGATATGTATGATGTATGTGCCAAATTTGAATGAAAACTGACAGAGCATGTCCAAGATACCGCATAAAAAAACAAAAACAAGATGCCTGGCAGTCGACCATCTTTGATCCAATTGCGAAATAAATTGTCATGGACATGTACCCTGACATGTATAATCTATGTACCAAGTTTGAATGACAACAAAGCATGTCCAAAATACAACATTTTCAAAAAACAAGATGGCTGCCAATTGGCAATTCTGAATCAAATCGCTAAACCACTGCATGTGCATATGTCCCACATAAGGTGATAAGCACATGCAAAGAATGAACGGAATCAGTCCACAGAATTTTGAAATATGACTCTGGACATACTGACGCACAGACGAACAGACTCAGGAACTCACGAACGGTTGGGGACATGTATCCTAACATGTATGATCTATGTACTAAATTTGAATGAAAACTGACAAAGCATGTCCAAAATACGACATTTTCAAAAAACAAGATGGCTGCCAGTTGGCCATTTTGAATCGAATCGCTAAACCACTGCATGTGCATATGTCCCACATAAAGTACTAGGCACATGCAAAGAATGAACAGAATTGGTCCAAGGGATTCTGAGATACGACTCCGGACGGACGCACGGATGGAGACCGAATTATAAGTCCGTGTTTTCGGATTTCGTCCGAACGGGGACTGAAAAGAATTGCAATCCCTGTATGCTGTATTATTAAAATATTACTCATTATTATACATCTGTCACCATAATGCCATAAGTTACAGCGTGCCGTAATTTTGCGGTATTTTACGGGGTATTTTCATCCTACCATATTAGAAAATGCAAATTCCAAATATAGAATGATTACGCGCTTAAGCGTCCTCTAATGATAAAAACAAACATGGCTGCCACCATGGTCTGACCGAACTCCACACAAAGAAGTTCACTGATTCTGTTCTTAACATTTTGGATTTCGGCATTCCAATGATGTATCCTTGGAAGGAAAATATGTATAATAATAAGGTTATTACGAGAATACCTAAAAATATGCACTCAGACAGTACGTATTAGTAATAATATGCATCTCACCAGATCGTCCCAAGGAACCCCGGCTACTTGGTCTACCTCTGGATCCATACACAAACATATCTTCTGAAAACATAGCATCCGGATCAATAATAACGCTAGGATGGTCACTATGAATACCAGCATCCAATAAAGACATTAGATCATCTGCAGAGAAAGTAATGTACATTAACAGATCAAATATATTATGTGTTACTGGTACAATATGTAACTCCTCCTAACATATAAATATCATTTAACTCGCCTCCTCCTGACATGTAACTATCATTTGACCTGATCCCTCTGACATGTAAATATCATTCAACTCACCTTCTCCTGACATGTAACTATCATTTAACTCACCTCCTCTGACATATAACTATCATTTAACTCGCCTCCTTCTGACATGCAACTATCATTTGACCTGATCCCTCTGACATGTAAATATCATTTAACTCGCTTCCTCCTGACATGCAACTATCATTTGACCTGATCCCTCTGACACGTAAATATCATTTAACTCACCTCCTTCTGACATGTAACTATCATTTAACTCGCCTCCTCCTGACATGTAACTATCATTTGACCTGATCCCTCTGACATGTAACTATCATTTAACTCGCCTCCTCCTGACATGCAACTATCATTTGACCTGATCCCTCTGACATGTAAATATCATTTAACTCACCTCCTCTGACATATAACTATCATTTAACTCACCTCCTCCTGACATGCAACTATCATTTGACCTGATCCCTCTGACATGTAAATATCATTCAACTCACCTTCTCCTGACATGCAACTATCATTTAAATCACCTCCTTCTGACATGTAAACTATAAGTTATAACTCACCTCCTCCTGACATG